GCAGATCTTCTCTGGATCTTTCCCCCTCTGAGGGGAGGGAAAATGTGTTCCCTTCTTGCCCCAAGCAGACTGTAAACATTTCCCACTGTGCCAGTCACACTGAATGGAAACATGAGCACTGTAATCACTGTTGTCTTCTAGATGATACAGTTCCTTGGCACCTCCCTTCTGACTGTTTCCTTCCAGGACATGTTTAAAGGATTATCCAGCAGTTGAGACACAGCTGCCTGGATTTTCCAGCCCTTCCAGCTAGGATTTGGGTGGGTGCCCCTCCAGCCTGGGCTTTGAACCTCCCAGCTCTGAGGCAATCAGAAGGGACTGAGACCCAGAGCACTACAGCCCTGGTCACACAGAGCACTTCCTTTGAGAAGAACGTGGTTATCCTAAGTCTTTCCCAAGCTTTCATTTCATCATGCTCACTTTTAACTCCCTAAGTGTGCACAGGGCACTTGTCTTCCCCAAAGAGTGTCCCTGTGGTAAGTGCTGGAGTCTCACACTTGTGAGCCATAATCATGACTGGCACTGGGCCAGGACCTCCAGAGGCTGATCCAGGCTAAACAAATTCCTAGCAAATATTAGGTGGCCAAACTTTCCCATTGCCACAGTTTATCCACCTTATTTTGAAACTATTTACCAAGATTAACACATTTGACAACAACTATGGTACAGCCTAATACAAGTCAAACCACTTTGATCCCTTTCTACCTGTTTCAAGGCTACAACCTAGAGGAAGCTTTTCCTGAAGGAAGACCAAACACTTCCTTCAGCTATCAGGGACTATAAACACTTGTATTTGTGGGAAGCAGGAATTGAGCTACGATACTGCAGTTGCACTCTGGGTATCTACAGTGAGCAGAAGAGGCTGCAGAGCTGGTGGCAGCAGCTATCTGTCCTTGAGGTGGCCGTTGGTGAGGTGTGCTCTGCTCCTTGGGGGCTCTGACCCATTCCTCTGCACGTAGCTGTTGCTTGAGACGTTGCTGAAACATGTGATCCCGTTTTGCTCCTTTTCCCTGAACATTTCTTCATCCTTGTCACTTTCTTCTGTGTCACTTCTCATGTCCTTTTCCATCTAGGGAGACAGGTAGGTGAGCAGCAAGGCAAACCCAAGAGCCTCAGCCCCTCACTCTCCACTTGTCCTGCTCTGCCCCATCAGCACTGACACCACCCTTGGACCAGATTCTACCTCTCTTTGAGTGCAGTGCCAGAGGATCCTGTCTGTAACCCTGATAAGCATCAGGAGTTCAGCTGAGAAGCAGCACCAAAGCACAGATGCCCAGGACTGTGTGAGCCTGAGGAGCTCCACAGTGCTGCTCTGGGCACCAACACGTGGCACAAGGATGGGGGAGGCAGTTCATCAAGCTCTTCTACATTTTCCAAAGGGCACAAGGAGCTAACTCCTACACACACATGGCCTGGGTGGCTGCAGGCCAAGCTGGGGGGGGTTGGAGAGGCTGTGAGAGAGGGAGAGACAGGGATCTCCCCATCAGACACAGCAGTGCAAGGGCTGGGAGTGAGAACTCCTCTTGAGGCAAGACTCAGCCAACCAAACAGAGCTGTTCTTGCAGCTTCAGGGGGACAGGCTGGAAGCTTCCAAACCAGCCAAAGGGCCAGCACAAAGCCACTGCACTCAGACTACATCCAGTTTCAGAAGGAGACAGACATGGACACACTGAGGAGAGCCCAGGGAAGGACTGCAGAGGTGGATGGGACTGGGGGCTGGGAGAGCTGGGACTGCTCAGCCTGCAGCAGAGAAGGCTTGGAGGGATGATATCAATGTCAAGCAGAACCTTCTCTGCTCCCAAGCAGTCTAGATGGACCCTCCTTCCCTGTGGGATGGGGAGGAACTGCACACTGATGCATACCGTGCCCTGGAGGATGAACTTGTAGACCATGTGAATAATCAGGCAGGACCAGAAGACATGGAGCAGCTGCAGAATGATCAGGAGAGTATTCACAAAGTAGTATCCAAAGAAGGGCTGGAATATCTCCATGGAGTAATAGTAGGTGTTATAAAGCACTCTGAAAAAGAAAGGGGATTGCAGAGGAAGGGCCATAATTAAGCCCCACAAAATCCTAGTCACAGAGGAAGTTTCAGGGCAGCTATGTCCATCTGTATCTCTAACCCACATGAGCCAACTCTCAGTTCCCCACCCAAAACCAGCAGGGCAGAGCCCCAGGACTCCTCCTCTGCAGGAGCCTTCAGGCCTTCAAAGCTACAAACTCCCAGGCAGAACAGCCTCGTTCACCCCAAGGCAGGTGCCACAGCCATGTGGCTCTGCAGCCACAGGGCAGGGACTGTGCCCCAGGGCTGGAAGGCACAGCTGACCATCCTGTCCCTGTCCTGCCTCCCAGGGAGCTCTGCATGGCCCTGGCTGCTGCACTCACGTGTAGGGGTAGATCACCAGGCGGCTGACCAGGAACACAGCTGAGAAGATCATGAAGAGGGTGTCACAGGTTTTCTTCCACTTCATGTAATTAAATATCTTGGTTGGCTGGAGGGAGAGAGAACAATCAAACAGCAGCCAAGAGAGCATCTGCACACTCTCCAGGAGGGTAAGGAGGCACAGGCTGTTCACAGGCTCTGCCTGGCTCGCAGGGCACTCTCAGAGCAGCACAGGAGCATGAGGGATCTGTGGATAAGTCAGTGAGAGCAGCTCTGGGAGGAGGACTTGGGGTGATGGTGATGAAAAACTCACTGTGAGCTGCAGTGTGAGCTCACAGCCCAGAAACCAACTGAGCCCTGGGCTACAGCCACAGGAGTGTGGCAGCAGGGGAGGGAGGGGATTCTCCCCCTCTGCTCTGCTCTTGTGAGGCCCCACCTGGAGCACTGCACACAGTTCTGGTGTCCCCAGCATCAGAAAGACTGGAGGCTGGGGCTGCCCCAACCCTGGCAGTGTTCATTCCAGGTTGGATGAGCCTTGAGCAACCTGCTCTGGTGGGAGGTGTCCCTGCCCAGGGCAGAGGTTGAGGCTGGATGATCTCTAAGCTCCATCCCAACCCCTGAACATTCCATGATCCTAAGATGCTATGAACACCTCAACGCTTGGCCCGTGCCGTGCTGGGTTGAAGGACATCCTGTGGCTGAGGAGCATCACTGCTACCAAGGCTCTGCCTGGCAGTTAGTCTGCAGAGCTCACCTCGAGGAAGCAATCAGAGGCATCATGGATCACCAGCACCAGGGTCCCAATGCGGATGTAATTGGCACAGTAGGAGAAGCTGATGAGGAAGATGGTTGCAGCATGATGGACTATTTGCTCCTTGAAATCCTGAGGAGAAAGGGAACAGCAGAGCATGAAACAGCTAATGTACCTCCTGCCATGGTCCAAGCATGCCTCCTACAGACAGCAATGGCATCTCTCTACCCAGTGACTAAAGCACCTCCCACTGCAAGGCCTTAGGTAGTGCGAGGTGTCATAGCCACTAAAACCATAATGGGGGTGACTGGGAACAACTGGAACCTCGTGGGGGGCAAGTGGGATCATACTGGGAGTGCCTGGGATCATAAAGCTTGAGACACATTCCAGAAACATAGGCAACTTGGAGACCCAGGAATGAAGAGTTTATGGTGCAAACTGAGGATCTCCCAACAAAGAACATCCATTCCCTCCACCAATGGTCCAGTGCTGTGCCCTGCCCGTTGGGGCACTTGCACCACTCGCAGCAGAACGAGCAGAGAACCATCTCTCTTCCTGGCTCTATGACCAGTGCAGCCTAGGAGAGTCTCAGAGGAGCAATTTTTACACCTGGATATGAAGTTTGGATTGAGCACTCTGCAGCAGTTTGCACCTTTCTATGTCAGGGTTTGTGCTCTCCACTTCCCAGGGGGGAAGCCAAAGCCTGGGAATGGGAATTGCTATGAATGAGCAAGGGCAGAGTGCCACCAAACCTCAGAGTAGTAGTATAGTTCTCACTGATGATTCTCCTGAGTGTTCAGTGTGTGTCCTGTTCGTGTTGGTTCTCCCCTGCCACTCACCTTCCTCTTCACATCAAAGGGCAGGGTGAAGACCAGAGACCAGTAGAAGGAGAGCTCCAGCATGTAGTACCAGAAGAGGGAGGGCAGGAGAGGCTGTGGGAGAGGGAGAGACAGGGAAATACCCATCAGACCCAGCAGTGAAAGTGCTGGAGGAGAAAACTCCTTTCCAGGCAACCCTCAGCAAACCAAACCACAGAGCTGTTCTTGTGGCTTCAAAAGGAAATGGTCCAACTGAACAATGTGTCACTCACTAAATGTCATCTGTGCCAAAGCAAAATGGCCATGGAACTGTTGGGGCAAGGCCAGAGGTGGCCACGAAGCTGCTTGGAGCACTGGGGCACCTTCCCTATGAGGACAGGCTGAAAGAGCTGGGGCTGTTCAGCCTGGAGAAGAGAAGGTTGTGTGGAGACCTCAGAGCACCTGCAGGAGCTGAAGGGGCTCCAGGGAAGCTGCAGAGGGATCTGTGCTAGGAGCTGCAGGGACAGGACAAGGAGCAATGGGGAGACATTGAAAGAGGGAAATTGAGAACAGATCTTAGGCAGAAGTTTTCCCTGTGAGGGTGGTGAGACACTGTCCCAGGGTGCCCAGGGAGGCTGTGGCTGCCCCAACCCTGGCAGTGTTCACAGGTTGGGAAAACCTTGAGCAACCTGCTCTGGTGGGAGCTGCCTCAGCACAGATGAGGCACATGGCACTCAGAGCACTCCTCTGCCCTGCAGACCTCCACTGAAGTCCTCCTCACACAGAGAAGTACAGACTTCAGTGGAGAATGTGGCTCCTCCCCAGGCCTCAGTCTCTTCTGCACACTAAACCACATTGGAGCATTCCCACTCCAGATTTTCCTGGCTCAGAACTTTCACCTTCCCTTATTTCTGCACCTCCTCCTGCTCTGCCAACCCATCCTCTATGGTGTTGGGATAAGGTACAAAGATGCTCTCCCTAGATGAGGCTCTGGCATTGAGTTCTTAGAGCTCATGAGCCTCAATTTCATCGAGCTTAATTTAATTTAATCGAGCCTTGAGTGCTGTGTGCAGTTTGGGGCACCATAGTATAAGAGAGACATAAAGCTGTTAGAGAGTGTCCAAAGGAGAGACACAAAGATGGGGAAGGGCCTTGAGGGCCATATGAGGATCAACTGAGAGCACTTGGGTCTGTTCAGCTGGAGCAGAGGAGGCTGAGGACAGAGCTCATGGCTATGTGCAACTTCCTCCCAAGGGGCAGTGCAGGAGCAGCTCTGAGCTCTGCTCTCTGGGACCAGGGACAGACCCAAGGGAATGGCCTGAAGTTGTGTCAGAGGAGGGTTAGGTTTTATATCAGGGAAAGGTTCTTCCCCCAGAAGGTGTTTGGGCACTAGAACAGGGTCAGGTTGGATATCAGGACAAGGTTCTTCCCCCAGAGGTGTTTGGGCACTGAACAGCTCCCCAGGGCAGTGGGCACAGCCCCAAGGCTGACAGAGCTCCAGGAGTGTTTGGCCAATGCTCTCAGGCACAGGGTGCAGTGTTGGGGTGTCCTGGGCAGGAGTTGCACTGATGATCCCTGGGGGTCCCTTCACACTCTGAATATTGTGTGATTCTGTAATTCAGTGCCCTCTTGTTGTTACTAATATAATCTGATTTTCAAAACCTACTGAAACACAAGACAAGATTTATAACAGCAATTTCCCCTCTTGTGTAACTCACCTGCTGTGGATATCCTGTCCAGCATTCTCTGTGGTCCCAAAGCCAAGGCTTCTGCAAGGAAAATGCAACAGGAAAATGACAATGTCAGTGAAATTCTTTTCTCATCAACTGTTTTAACTCCTTTAGCTTGTTCCTACTACAGACTCTGCTGTGTTTCATTATAGGCAGAGCTGCTCACACTGCCTGGAGCTCAGCTGCCATGGGACAAGGACACTTGGTGCCTGCTGACTTGGGATCAGCACATTTTCCAACACTTAACCCCTCAGCAAAACTCAGAGGAACCTTTAAAGCTCAGGCAGAGGATGGCAGTGCCTCCAGGCCCAGCTCAGTGACCACAGCTCAGGGCCTAGAGCACAGCCACGGCCTCTGCCACCCCTTCTGCTGCTGAGGCACTCAACTGGTGCCACATCCTGGCTGCCCCAACCCTGGCAGTGCTCAAAGTCAGGCTGGACAAAGCCTTGAGCAACTGCTCTGGTGGGAGGTGTCCCTGCCCAGGGCAGGGGTTGGGGCTGGAGGATCTCTAAGCTCCATCCCAATCCCTTTACACACTATGAAACTGGGATTCTATGATAAGAGAACTCCTTATTTATCAAACCAGAGAAGAGGCAGAGACATGAGCCTGGGCCCATCCCACCCTGGGTAAGGAAAATGAACAAATTAAATTATTACATGACAGTCCATGCTCCAAAGGAAGCCTAAGTTTTTTACCTTAAACAGGTGTTGGATTCAACACACAAACAGGCCCTGCAGCTGTTCCATCTCCCACCCCATAGAAATGTACTTTTATAGAATCCCAACTGTCTTCTGCTTTGCCACAAGAAGAGGAAACCTCTTGGTCCTGAGATGGAGTTCTTCAAACAAGCACAGTGCAAACTGTCTGTGGTCTCCTACGTGTGCTGTGCAGGGGATCCACACTGACCTGAGAGGAAAACCTCTGGGAGGTCTGAAAGGACATGTGTGACAAGAAACTCTGCCCTCGTGGCTGGGCAGGACAGTAGGTGGCTGTCATGTACTCACATCGTACAGCACAGCCAGCCCAGTGAGGAACGAAGTGATGTAGAACGTGAACCTCCAGCTAGAAACAAACAAACCAAAGTGTGTTAGGCTCCCGTGGTTAGACCCCAAGCTGCAGGTCTGTACATCAGCACACTCACTCAAAGAGTGACACTCTTAGGGTAAAGACACATGTGAGTATGTCTGAGGTTTGCCCAGAACAGGAGCAGCTCTTTGTATGTCCCCAGCACTTTCCCCAGCCTGCACAAAGAGCAATTCCCCTGCTTGAGATGGCAGAAAACACAAGACTCTCCCTGACTAAAATCACTCAGAGCATCATCCCAAACTGCCCCAGCACTAGCAGATGCATTTGTAAAAGTCAAACAGTGCCAATCTCTCTCCTAGGCCTTTGGAGATCATTTGTTATCATGTAAAGTAGCTAATTACTGCCATGTTTGGCCTCAGTCAGGAGCTGGTAATGATTTACCCACACATTACATTAGAACTGTTTACCAAGGTCAGTGCACAGAGGCAGATCCCTCTGGATAGACACAGGTGTGGTGAGGAATGAGGGGAATTTCACCCCAACAGGAAATATTTCAAGGCTGTCTAAGCCAGTCCTTTAACTTCCAAAACCCCTCCAACAAGTCAGATGTAGCTGCATTTGGAGACAGAGGCTCCACCTGTCAGTGAATACCCCAGGACCTCCAAGACAAAAATAAACTCTACAAAGCTCCTACATTCCATCAGAGACACTCAGACTGCACACAGAGCCAGGGCAGGTGGAAGGGCTTCAGCCCTAGGGAGCTGGGATCAGTGTGTGCAGGGATGGAGGGACAGGGAGCTGGGATCTGTGTGTGCAGGGATGGAGGGACAGGGAGTTGGGAATTCTGTGTGCAGGGATGGAGGGACAGAGAGTTGGGAATTCTGTGTGCAGGGATAGAAGGACAGGGAGCTGGGAATTCTGTGTGCAGGAATAAGGAGCTGGGATCTCTGTGTGCAGGGATGCAGGGACAGAGAGCTGGGATCTCTGTGCAGAGATGAAGGGCAGTATGGAAGGCTGTGAGCTGTCTGTGGAGCTCAGCTCTGGTGACAACCTGCCCTTCATGGCTCATGCTCCTCACCAGGCCTCGCAGAACTTCTTGGACAGGCTGGGCCGGTCCATGTTCCTCCGGCGCCGGAACCACCTCTCCACCTTCCTCACAGGCAGGTCACATTGCTGGGCCAAAGTGATCAGCTCATCCTGGAAAACAGGTGAGGCAGCAGAGGTCAGACCCAGGTCCAAAGGTGAGGAGGGGCAATGTCTCCCCTGACCCAGCAGAGAGCCCAGAAGTGTTCAGGCTAAAGCCTCTGTCTGCTGTCTGTTCCCAGTGTAAACACCTCAGGTAGTAGCAGATCTTCCCATTCCCCTCTAAGCAACTGGTTATTAATGCTAAGTGCTGAAACTCCACATTTGTTTATGTGAACTTCCTTGGTTTCAACTTTCAAACTGGTTTTGTCCCTCATATGAATCAAACTCCTTCCTCACCCTGTCTGCAGGGACCAAATCCCTTCACTCTGTCCCTCCAGGAAAGATTCACTGCAGCTTAAACAACATTTTACAGTTCTGCACCACGTCTTGTCATGCCTTTCAGCACTGTGACACAGCCAATGAGCTAATGGATGTCATGAGCAGAGGAAACACCACATTCCTACCGGATATTCTGCTGTGGTAAACCTGCTAGGGATAATTTTTCAATAGATTACCCACAGAAATCCTGCAATTACCTTCCTTCTTGTCCTCAGGCTCTCAAGAGTTTGGCATGTGACAGGAAAAAGGTTTGTCATGTTTTATATTCCTGGTTGGAAGTGTCATCCTGGATAGCAATAGATTTTCATGGAATGCATTTACCTCAATGGCATCACATGGGAGTGACTGACATAGTTCAAGTATGTTGTCCAAAAATGTGTTCAAACCAAGATTCAGATGTGCTGCTTTACAGTCTTACTTAGGCACTTCTGCTCTGGTGGTGGAGACAAATGGAGACACCAATCTATACTCTCCAACTGCTCCACCGTGTGGAATTCCTGCTAGGGAAAGGCTGCTGAGTGCTTCCTCCCAAATAACCTGAGTGGTGTTACCAAACCTCAGGATTCCAAATGGGATTTGGTTTGGCTGAAGACACTAAATGCATAGGAAAGCAAAGGAAAAAGGACTCACCTCTTTTGGGTTCTTGCAGTGTGAACTGTAGAATGTTTCCAGCACAGGGTTGGGCTGAGCTTTTGGTCTCTGCTTGTCTCTCACCCCCAGTTTGGTGCTGAGGGGCAGGGCTATGGCTCTGCAAAGGGGAAGACAAAGATTCAGGCAAAGAGAGAACAGAGGGCAGTGATTTCTCATGCTGCAGCACTGTCAAACCCCATGCAGAACAGAGCTGTCTCCTACATGGGAGCCAAGGCAGCAGCATCATGCTGAGCAGGTAGAAACACAAACTGACAGCAGAAACAGTGGGACTTGTATCCTACTGCTCTGAGCTCCAACATCCAGAGTTACACCAGGTTGGCAAATGTTGAATCCTGCTTTCCCAGCTTCTGAATCACCTGCCATGGGTGTCTGGCTTGCCTGCAGCTGATGGGGAGCACCACACTGATGAGGAGCCCTGAGTGCTGTTCTCTGCTTGATCCAGAACATGAACATACATGGCATCCACCTGAACTAAGTGCTGAGCTCGAGCCCAAGGGGGAGGCTCTGTCTGAGGTGCAGTATTAACACAGGAGGAACATCCTGCTCAAACAGGAGGCCACTTGGTCTTCACTGCAGTAGCTTACCTTCATTTTTCCTAACATAAGTCAAACCCAGTTGCCAAACAAGGACTTGGCAACTAGAAAGCTAAACACAAGGAACAGGTGGCTGACACTGCCTGTGCATCTTCAGCCTGTCACACTGGAACAGTGCAAAGAAAAAAAACCTGCAGAAATGGATAAAAGTTGTGCAGGGCTAACAAATTTGGGCACTGAATTGCTGCACTCAACAATTCAACTCCTCCACTGCCACCACTGCCTCAGCAGCAGGAAACAGCCTCATCCAGAGAGTGCAGGGAGGTCCTGCCCAGGCACTGCACACACAGGAGACCTGGGAAACAGCAGTTAAAAAGAAAAGACTCAAATGAACTGCATTGCACTCGAAGTTCTGAAGATCACCATGTTGGTGTGGACAGGATGGGATATCCTTATGGCTGTGATCATCTGCTGTGTGGCTTCTCCTACCCACACAGCTCATACTCCACGTGTGCCTAGGGACTGGTCCAGGTCCAGCATCCTTCCCAAGGGTCTTCTGGAAGTTTGCTTGTCAAGAAGTCATTTCTTACCATAATTAACAGGTATTAAAAGCAATTTTCCCAACAGAGACTTTACCTAAGGAATGCTTAGCTTCTGTCACACCACAGAATGGTCACATGTGGCTCACTCATGTAACCAACACTCATTCCAACTTTCCATTTGTCTGTGCATCAGCTGTTCTCTGGCACCATGTCTGGGAAATTCCTTTGCCAGCCCTGGCTACAGGTACCAAGACCAATGCAAATGGGATGATTCTACCACGAGGGAAGGGCCAGGGCTAAGTGTATTGGCAACAAGACACATAATTAGCACAAAACTCTGTAAGTGTTGACTAGTTCCAGTGCAATTCAGCACATCCTGGCAGAGCATCCTGGGAATTCTGGGCTTTAGCTCTGACTGCCCTCAAGAAGAGTTTAACTGCATCTCATGATTGGTTTAGTATCAAATGATTGGTTGGACCAGCAGGTTCTGTGCTCAGAACTGTGTCAGTATTCCAGTGCTACCTGTAATACACTGGAATTGGAAGACATTTACCTTGAGCTCTGCACTAGGTCTTGGCTCTCACATCAAGCAGTTCCTTGCAGGGCCTGATCTGCCTGTCTCAAAGGTAAGGCACCTCAGGCAGCTCTGAAGAGGAGGATGGAATCAAGTTCTGTTGCTGAAGAACCATCTCACTGCAGCTCCTCATCAGGCCACATCAGGAATGGAACAGGCTGCAGCTCCCAGACACATCAAAGCAAGGCCAATGTCTCTGGCAGGTGTCAGGGCAGGCTGCCAACAAACCTTTTTACCAAAAACCTGCTTAAGTATTCCGAGCAATTTCTTTTGTTTAATCCCTGATTTCTCTCTTCCCTCTCTGTTGGTTCCTCATGGCATAAACCTCACTATCCCAGAAATGAGCAGGGTGTAACCAAAGCTACAATTACTCTGTTGCTGAGGTTTTGAATTTAACCATGGATTATGGCACCAATCCTACTTTTATGAACATCATTGGGAAATCGAGGCCTGAAATTCTTCCTAAGGGACGTCTGCACATGTTGGTTGTGTGCTCTGACTCAGGGTTCAGCTAAGCTTTGTTCCAGCCCGAAGAAAATGATGCTGCTTGTACTCATTTCAACATCACAGACACCTCACCTCAGTGGCAGGACAGCTCTGCAGCAGTAAGGAGCTTCCCTCCCTCCAGCACTGAACCCACCTTCTCCCACCTTGCCCAGTGCCTTGCAGAGGAGTTGCTTCACCACCTGTGAGCTGTTTCTTCTCCCCCAGGGCTGTACCCACAGCCTCCTTGGCTCTCCCAGGCCGCACCCAGACACCACAGGTCCTCTTCCCATCTAACCACAGCACTGCTGGCTCTTAGGAGGATGTCACTGCCTCAGTTTCCCCCAGCTCAGCCACCAGTGCCAAGGAGAGGAAGATCCATGCCTGAGGAAGCAGGTTCAGTGCCCACAGAGGATGGACCTGTTGGCTCCAGCACAGCAGCTGCTGGAGCTGCTGGATGAGGGATTGCAGGGGATCCTCTGGGTTTCTCCTGCCTCTTGGTGTTCTCCTGGAGGTCTGACAGTTCAGCCACACGAACACATTACACACATCACAACATTCCCAAAATGCCAAAGCAGCACCAGGAGCCACCCAGAGACAGAACACTTGGCACCTGCAAGCAATAGCTGAGGGTAGAATAAATTGCCAGAGGCCAAGCTACAGCCACCAAACTTGTCTGCTAGTTACATCTACTCATTTTGACCCCCAGAGCAGATGTACAAGGCCATCCACAGGAATAACACACATCCTTTCCTCCTGCAGGGCTCACACTCAGTGCCAATTATTTTCACCAGGGCTAATGCCACTGTACAGACAAGACAACAAAGCAACCAAGGGCTGAGTTCACACCTCCCCTGCCCAGGGAGAGCTTTCTCCTCCAGGATGAGCTGCATGGAAAGGAGTA